TTTTGCACCTCCAGCGCAACCAAATACCCTATCTACTTTCCTGGGGGTCGGGGGCCTGGTTTTCCATGAGAAAAGTGACCCCCTGCGCGCACTGTTAAGCTCTAAAAGGCGACCTTGGGTGTTCAGGTTTCAGGGTTTAGGGATTGAGGGTTTAGGGATAAGGGTTTAGGGTTCAGGGTTCAGGGTTCAAGGTTTAAGGAATACAGCTTTAGTCATATCATGAGTCGGTATCTATTTGTTGCTTGGAGGGTCAGGGGACTTAACAAGTAGATCAAGGTGAATAACTGGCAATATTTTTAAACTGCCAGGGGTTATGCGCCCCGACCCTATGAGTACTTGGCTGCAGCCCTGAGTCACGTAGTCATGAGTCATGAAACTTCTGTTAAAGATTTGGCATATCCTGTAACGCTGTCAGGAAGATCTGAGGCACATAATTTTCATGAGCCCTCCAGATTCTTTGATTAAACCCGAGGAAACCAGAAATGCTCGGCATAGGCTGAAAAGTCTCAAGATCTGTGAAAAGCGCAAGCTTCTGCCTAGTAGGCTCGGAAAACTTCAAATCACGAGGCTTTTGGAAATCTAACACTCAGGGTTCAGGAGACTCAGGAGACTTGTGTAATCAACGCCTTTCATCCACACAGAACGATCCACACATGGTCAGTCTCTCTTGAAGCAGGCATCTCAGCGTACCACAGCTTGACATGGGCAAGCATCAGTGGCAGATTTCAGGGTTTAGGGGCACAGCTGCCCCCAGGTGCTTCGGGGCCGAGAGCCCTAGTGTTCGTTGACTCTCCACTCAAACGCTTTGCACCTGGATCTTAAGCCCAAGGGCCAGAGCCCAACTTGCAGTTTCTGAGCGCTCAACTCTAGACTAAGGTGAAGATTGTGAGTGCCACGGGTAAGCGCTGAATCCATTGGATGAAAATATTGCGTGCTGACAGGCCCGGGTGCCTGGCTCGTGGCTGTGAGCTGGTGGGGTTCGCCTGGCATGTTCGCAACAGACGACGTAGTCGCTGTCTGCCATGCGTCTGCTGCTGTTTACGGGGGATTCGGAGAGTTGCGATGAGTAGTATCGGAGCTTGGCGTTCCGTCAGATGTCGAGGGTGTTGCCGACAACCAGGGCGAGGCGATGGTGGCGCTCCCGACGGATCCCGAAGAAAACAAGGAAGTCCGTGCGGTACTGGCCCGCTTGATGCAGTTCCAGGCCTGTACCCATCCATGTGTGTGCGTGCGTTGAGAGTTGTGGAGCGTTTGTGTTTGCGTGTCAGGATGCAGGTGCCGAGTCACGTGCTTCCGGTGCTTCGGATCAGCTCGACGCAGCTAAGTCCACTGCTCCGTGTGGGCCGGAACAGATCAGCTTTACCTCCCAAAGGTTGTGCTGGATTTCTTTGAGCCACAGCAGTTCCGGTCCAGGGCTGATGTGAGAACCTTGTTGCAGCGGCTCGTGTGTTTTTGCTGCAGATAGCTTAGGGTGCGTCGACGCGTGAAAGTCAATCTGCAGATGTCTCTGGCGTGCTAGCTAAGGCCGAATGGAGTTGTCATCATTATCGGGTTTGCGGTTCCGCTCCGCGATGGCTACGTGGCGAGGGTCGACTTCGAAACCACTTCTTGGTCGAGCGTGCAACAGGCTTGGCAGCGTGTGGGGCGCGTGCGTGAGGAAAATGCGCAGGATGCTGCTTCTGCTCAGCAGGCCAGGTCATGTTTGTTGTCAAGTTTTGTGCACGCTTCGATGCACGTTGCTTGATGGCGGGCACGTCAGGTAGCGGTCGGCATGTTGTAGTTCCACTGCCCGAGGCCCGTGATTCCACGGCGACCAAGGCCAAGCGAGTGGCGGACGCAGCCGGCAGCGTTCAGGACAACCTCGGGCATGAGTGCTGCGAAGGGACAATGATGGCTCTTGTAGGTTCATGCCTGACGAGGAGCTTTTGCGGCACTTCCGTGGTGGCGGCGGCTCCAAAAGACAGCGCACCATTGGGCACTTGGCGGAAACCCTCGCTCTGAGTTCCTGAGCAGCAAATGCTTCGTCTTTTGCGTCTTTTGCAGTATTGCGTTACGTTGGTTGCGTTCTCTCGGGCATCGCCATGTCCTCGGAGGTACACGTGTGTCAGCCCATCATCTCCAAGCTGCTCGTGAGCCGCGTGAGGATGAGGGAGACGGATTGTAGAGAAGCTGACCAGGGTGTTGCACGGTAGTATCAGTTTTGTGTTCATTCGGCCAGGCATTGAACCGGCAATTCCCGCGTCTGTTGTTGGCAGTGCGCTGTGAAAGTTGTCTAGCTCATGTTACCCGCTCCCGACTTGTGCTGCCAGCTAGAGCAGAGAACTCGTGGTTCCATCTTGCCACAAAGAGGCTATGCTTGATTTGGTAAGACGCGTAGGACCAGACGGCGCTGCCGTGGTGTTGATCTTGCAGCCCTTGCCATTTCGATGTGTTGCAGCGCCTCAGCTGTGGTAGGCTCCGAGTTGTGCTCTGGCGTAAGTCCCTGGTTGCTGACGTGGCGCTGAGTGTCTTCCAAATCGCCAATAGTGGCTCGATTACATGGTGCGGTCGATTACTTCTTCAAGATGGGTCCGAATGTGAGTTCCAGGCAACAGGGCAGTGCCGAGACCACATGATGAAGTTGGAGATTGGCCTGTGCGTCTCAATGGAGGTACCGAGGAGCTGCGTCAAACCCTACAATCAGAGCTCCTGCACTGGCATCGTTAACAAGTACTGCATCAAGGCTTCCTATCCATTATCGTCTTTGTCGCGGACCGTGGCGTCCTTCCCGCCGGATGTGGTGGCGCGGCGAGACTTTACAGACCCTGCGGACCTGGGTCAAGCCTCCGAGGTCAGGATGCTGTGGACATGTATTAGTTCGCTTGGCCGTCTGTAGCGCTTGCTTGTACACAATGCCCGTGTGTGTGAGGACTCAGTCCTGAACCTGACGGGCCAGATCGTCAACATCGGGCCGCCTCCACTGGTTGCCGTGGACAATCCGCAACTGCCGCGGCGTTCTCTCGTGCTTCGGCACGGTGACTACGAGTTCGAGGTAATCCTGCTCGCGTCCGCCGCGAAGGCGGCTTTCGCCTCGGGAGACAAAGTGGCTTTTTTCGGGATTCGGAAGTGTCTTTACCAAGGTGTGGTCAGCCTGGAAACAGGTCGCTTGTCCTGGTTCTTGTGCAATCCGTCATGGCTGCAGCTACCAGATTTCGAAGGACGCCCGCGGAAAGCGTTGAAGGTCGAAGCATTGGTTCCCACATCGGTGTCGTCACTTCACGCAATTGGCGTGCAAGAGACCGCTGCTCGACTGGTCGTGGCATGTGTGATGCCGCTGACTGAGGCGGTGTTTGGCCAGCAAATTTTTGTGTCCGACAAGAAGATCCGTGTCGAGGTGGTCTTGCGAGACTCGACGGGCAACCAGGCGGTGATGCTTTGGACGGAGCAGTTGTCCTGACCTCAGTGGCATGACAAGTTGCGGTCGAAGGGGGCATCGTGTGATAGAACTGCAATGGGGTCTGTGGTTGATTCGACAAGTGTGGCATGGTGGGTAAAAATGTCGATGAGCCGAGATGTGGGACACATGTGACGCTGAGACAGGGCGCGCTGGGTTCCTATCTTGTGTCAATGGCATGTGCGACAAGTCGTGGTTGGTGACCTTGCGCCCGCGAGTGTGGCAAGAGAGGTTGCAATGGAACGTGGCTTCGGTAAGCTTGAAAGAGGCGGAAGCCATGTAGAATCCCCCTTTGAGATGATGCTTGGCTCTGCAGCTGAATTTCTCCTTGTTGACTATGGTAGACGTGCTCCGCAGCTGAATTTCTCCTTGCTGACTATGGCAGACGTGCTGACCAGCGGAAACAGCATTCCAGTGGCGGCATGTGTCGAGAGTGCATTGGCCAGGTTGTCGCCAGTTCGTGCTCATGCATGTTGCCATGTGTGGCATGTCTGACACGTGGCTAGGTTGCTGGTGAACCTTGACATTGCGTATGTGTCGCGATGCCGGTACTTCAGGCGAGGGTTGTAGGACGAGTACGAGTATTCACGGTGAGTACTAGTCTTTTACCTAATGAACGTCATGACGGTCTTATGGTTAACCAACGCGGGCAGCAACATGTAAGCCCAAAACGGAGCCACACACAACCTGTTCATTCGTCTTCGCCACATGAGACGTGGCTTGCGTCACATTTTTTCGAATTTCTGCCGCAAGGACAGTAAAGAGTCTTGCGTGCTTACCACATGCGGACAGCAACATGCGGGCCCAAATCGGAGCCTCGCTCACTTAAGGTTGATGGGTTGAGCGTGTAGGGTTGAGTGGTTTAGGGTTTAGGAGTTGTCAAGGGTTTCGGTAATGCTTAGGGTTTAAGGTATGGTCTGGGGCTTAGTGTCTATGGTTTAAGGTTCTGGGTTTAAGGACCATCCTTCGTACAAGGATTGAGACAGCAGCACGCAGGCCCAAAACGGAGCCACCCACACGCCGTCCAGTCACAACTTGGTATGTGCCTATGCGTTCTACGCAAACATAAGAGACGGCGTGGCTCGCGCAAGCCATCCCCCATGAGAAAGAGTATGGGAAAAATGTAATTATATTTTTACGAAGCATTAGGATTTCCCCAAGAGGTGTAAAGAGTATCGCATGCTTACGCGCAAGCCCCAAGATCCGAAACCATCAACGACTTGGCAACACTGAGACCACCCAAGCCCGAACCCTAAATTTTGAACCCGAAATTCCAAACCCTGAACCTTAAACCCTAAACCCAACCCTATCCTGCCACTCGAGCGCAGGCCATGCGATTCGTTGTAGTAGTCACCTAAAGACAGAGCCCCGTCTGGGCAGCGGTTTAGGTCAATGTGCATGTAGCATGATGATCTTATTAAATTCTGCGACAGTCTTGCCATGTGGTTAAGCATCTAGGTCTGGGGGTGGTGTGCAGTCACGCGGCAGTGCAACCAAAACGATGTGTATCGTCGACGTTTGTGCTAGGTTGGTGCCGGCTGCCGGGAGCAATGCGTGTGACGTTGGATGCGCCGTGGGTGCGTGCTGGAAAATGTGAGACGGCGCTATGTCAATGAGAATGCCAGCTTGTCCACCACTCACTATGGCTAACTGCTATATTGCTTATGCACACGCTTACGCGCAGTTCGCTCCGGCCGTGCCACATCGTGTCCAACGTGGGCAGGGTGCAGCGTCGCAGCATTAAAAGCATCCTTTGTTGATTCCAGTTGCATGACAGGTCTGATTAGTGTGATTGTGTGTTTGAGTTGTGCGAGAACAAGGGGTGTGGAATACCAATTGTCAATCGTGAACCATGTATTCGGGCAGGGGTTCGCTGGGTGCGGCATGGGGGGTTCTGGCCTTGGGAGGCAACGTGTCCTGGTCGGGGACGTACTGGTGCGGGGAGGGACCGTGAGGATTGGGTGCTCGTTGTGTTCGCAGGCCGAGATCGTCGAACAGGATGCGGGTTTGGGGGCGGTGGAGGGGGTTATGTGTGAGATCTTAGAGAAGCCTGGCACGTCTGATCACTTTGGATGTTGCGCATCAGAGATTGCGATTTTGCCAAACTTGCTATATTGGAAGCGCTCGGCTCAAGTACTTCTCGGGCCAGTAGGGGCTGGCCTGCGGCCATGCTTCGTGGACTGTGGCCACGTGCGCACCACGATGTCGACCGCGCCGACTTTAACTGCGCGAGGCCGTCCGCGCCGGCTCAAACTGCGCGAGGAGCTGCGTTGCTCTTGATGTATGCTGTTGTGAGTGTGCTCGTGCATGGCGTGCTACATGCTTGGCGGCGTATGGTAACCGCGATGCTGGAGGTTTTGCGCCGCGCGGTGGCGTGTATGTCGTCCCAATGGCAAGGGCGGGCTCGGCGGTCGCGCGCGCCTGACCGCAGCGCATGTCGTGGTACTGCCTTCGTTGTCCAAGTCAAGCTATGTTACGTGGCATCCGTTTGGACACGGTTACGTGAATGTCAGTTTCTGCGTGAAAAAGTGCGATCAGGGCGAGGGCTGTTTTTGGCTGTCGGCTACGTGACGTTCGGGCTAGTCGCTTTGGACATGCTTGCAGGGCAGACTAGGAGTGACATCATCGCTTTGCGCGCTGGGGGTGTGTTTGCATTGGCGTGGGCACTGGCACGCGAGACTCATGTGAGGTCCAGTCGCGGCTGTCGTGCTCTCTCCGTGCTCGTGGTTTGTTGCGAGGGCTGGCTGACAGGCATGTCATGGTTAGTCGTGTTGATGTGCGGGTCATGGGCGTGGTTCGTGCCAACATTCGGGCGAGAACCGATCCATTCAAGGACTGCGTCGGTGCCCGTCGAGATCGCGGGTTTGCTGTTGTCCGTTCTGGGCGAGCCGGATGAGGTGGAGAACGTCCTTCGTCCAGATTGGGTGCAGGGCTGGGCCGGGTGGTGTGAACTCGATGCCAGCGACGACGCTAGCTGCGTGGAGATTGCTCGACGACTGTTATATACATTTCTTCAGCCAACGGCCACGTTGGGACGAAGAGCAACGTGGAGCGTTTGCAGGAGCTGACCCTTGCAGGTTGGCGCCACGTGCCTGCCAGCCCGCGCCAGGCGAACAATTGCTTGCTAGATGGTTTGTTGTTAACGTTAACGCGCGCCAACTGCGCGCCATCGTCATTGCTCAACGACGAGCGCGAACGCCGCGACGCGTGCGCGGCATGTCGGCGCATGCTGGTGCAATCTGCGGATACAAGATTGCGACCAAGACAACTTTCTTGCTCAGGCTCAGGAACCATTCTGGCGGTGACGGAGGCAGAACACAATGCAGCCTATCTTCAAGGTGACATTCATGGCCCTACTGCTGTGCGCTTCGTTCTGGAGCGCTACAACCACCGCGCCGTCACTGTGGGCTCAGTACGCAGTACTGTATACACGCGATACGATTGCCCGGCGCTGGATCCGAGCAATTTAAGTACCACCGTGCAGGTAAGAAACGACCTGAACGCGGCAGCGCTGCAGTTGTCTCTTTTTTGCCACATGGATGCAGCTGGCAACAGCTACCATTACGATGCGTTGTTTCCTGGAAATATTGGGGATCATCAGCCGAACCACTTGCGAAAGACGTCGAGGAGGCGTGTGACATGGACATCGACCCCAGCTCGGACTCGGGCGTGTCTGTTGCTGGTGCGGCGTGCCCCGAACGTGTACCTTGTCTGCATGGTCTGCAAGCAGATTTGCAGGCAGCGCGCCCCACCATAAACACTGTGGACGCCGAGCGTGTCTGGCAGTCGTGGGCCAACGAGGCGTCCCTGGGCACGAGCCTGATGACCCTGCCTCAAGCCGGGTTGTCATATGGGGACTCGGGTCTGAACGCTGCAGCTCGCCTACATTTCGGTCCTTCCATTTTACGCGAGCGAAAGGCGAGCGCCAGCTCGCGTAGGCTGGGTGGGGACCATGGGCTGGCCCCGCCGCGGACTGGTGTTTCCGATGCACTGCGAGGCGGCCCTGGGTTAGTCGGTGTGATAGACAGCAGGATGAATCTTTCGTGGGAAAAAGGACACTGCTCTCGATTTGGACGCGGCGGCTTCGTCCGGTGGCAGGCAGCGCCTGCGTTTCAAGCAGCCGTCGAGCGCGTACGCGGTGCCGGATCAGCTCGAACGCGATGAGTTTATTGTGCGCGCCATGCCGGCCACGCACAGTCCGGATCCGCGAGCGGGCTTTGAGGAAGAAGTGGCACGCTTGGCGCAGAGGTTGTTGAGTAAGCCGTTATTGCCGATGTCGCAGCAAGCAGCGGCCGTGCGCTCTGGGGGAGCGGTGCTGCCGCCCTCGTGCCATTGCACTTTTAAGACGTGCGGATGGGAGGGTGACAGTGAGCAGAGCCTGAAGCAGCATTTGCAAGCCTCTCATAAGAGCGACCTGTCTGCGGCTGCAGATTGCTTGCGGCCGTCAGGCCCGCGGGGTGAGATGCTGTACGCGTGCTATGCAGCCGCAATCAGTGTCAAGTGCCAAGCAGAAGCTCCCTTTGCGTGCGCCAGCACAGATCGCCGATGCTTGCGTGAATGTCACGCGGCGCTGGGCGACCCGGAGTTGTGCACGCTCGTATGTTTCGTGTGCGCGCGGCGGTTTGCGTACACTGGCGGCACTGGCAACGCAGAGATTGCCTGGCGGAGGTTGGGCGGTGGATTAGGGAAAGTTTTGGGTCGGTCCGCAGAAGAGCTAGAAAGGCTCCTGGGCCTAGAGACGTACTCCAAGCGATGTGTGGCGGAACCCAGGTCTGGACGCAGCAGCGCGTGGCATGCAGGAATACCTGCTTCAATGCCGCGTCTTGTGACCTGCGAGGCAACACCGGTGGATGTTTTGTGCTGCCCGGAAGACATACGCTGCCAAGTCTGCGCCTGCGACGGACACGACTTGTGTGAGCGCTGCGAGGCGCCGCTGCGCACGTACTGTTTCAGCCCAATTGCTGTGAGCACGGGCGCAAGCCGCAGCAGGCGTTGTCGAACGACCTCATGATATATTACGCTCGACGTGAGCTATACGAATTGAACGTTACGTTTATGGAAATGATCTGTGCAAGCCCATGCCTAACGACCATGGCATGCTTCAGTTTAGAGAAACGGTGTCGCGCAGGGCGCGTCATGGACGAGCTTGCGCAAAGCAATGTGCGCCGGATCGCGGCTCCTGGCAACGCTACAACGTTCCTGCTTCCGTGGGAACACGTGCTGACGCAACTGCAAAACCTCGAAGAGGCTCGTGCGCACACTGCAGCGCCTCCCTTGTTGCCACGGACGGGGCAAGAACTGAGCGATTTCGTAACCGTACTGTTGAAGACGTGTGATGGACAAGTAACAGAAGAGTCGCCTTGTTCACGCTGCGACAGTGCGTCGCGCGGTAGTTGTTCAGCTCATCGAGAACGCACGCGCTCGCAGCCACAAGGCCTTCCGCAACGTGTCGATAGTCGACGTGCGCGAGAGGGCGGTTCTGCTGCCGGAAAACGGTGTTCCCGACGCGGTGCGTGTGTTGCTGCCGTACGACGAGGATCTGGATTACCTCCAGCCGCGCAAGAACGCCGCGCCGTCTGCGCCAGAAGAAAGTTTGGACAAGGTCGAGGCACGAATGCGCCATCTGAAGCCGAACGCAGTGGTCCTGGAGAAGTCTTGCGCGCCCGAGGGGGATGTCAACGCGCAACGGGTGCACGCAGTTTGCGAATTAGCCGAGCAGGCCAGACAGGCGGACGCCCCCAACACATCAGCGCTACGTGTTCAGAGGTTAGAGATCACAACTGGATCTCGCGTGCTGGACCAGTTCGAACCGTGGTATTTTGGGGTCGCGTTTGCATATCTTTCGAAGTACTGCGCTGGCCTGCCGGATGCAGCCGAGTGGGTCGAGAAGCCTCGGTGGCGAAGGACGGAAGACGAGCCGCGTATTGGACTCAGCCATTGGGTGCGCATCATGGCGAGGCGCGTAGAATCGCAACTCGGACGTGACTCGGTATTCGGTTTCGCAACGTGGAACGTCTTGTTTCGCTCGGCTGCGAATTTGTCACGGACGGTCTACGTCCTAAACACGCTGGTGTACGACGCGCAGCAGAATAGCTGGCGGCGACTAACGGCCACCGACATAGACAAGCGTCGTTGGAACTTCTCGCAGCGTTGACAGGACATACACAGATAGCGCTGGTCGCAAACAACCGGTGAACGGCGACATGACGAAGGTCGGCCGCGTCCAGAACTTGAGCTCCACGGCCGTGAAGCTCCTTCGAAGCATTTCACAGACGGCGCAGCACCTCCCCGGTACGCAAGAAGCTCGCCGACATATGCGACACGACATCGAGGCAATGCGCGTGCGTTTCGGCTTGCCCGTTTTTGCTACTTTCTCGCCCGACGAAGCCCACCAGTTGTTATACGTTCGTTTGTGCCGTACGCGAGCGTCCGACCCGGGACGTCTCCGAAGCAGCCGAAGCTGGCGGGCGCTGCTGGCCAGACGTCTGCGATGACCTTTGCCTTTCTGTTGCGGGCCTGGTCGGCAACGTGAGTTCATGAAGGTTAGCGAGACAGACTATGCCCTGACAACTTTCCAACATTGGGAATATAGCCTGGTTAAGGTCGCCTTGGGATGTGTAACAGATAGGCTGTTCCTTAGCTACAGTAGGCAGTATCGTTCTCGCCAACAAAGGCAGCAAGAGAGGCATTCTCAATCCTACAAGCTGTCAAGGCTGCGCTCCTCTATTTTGCGACACAGTCACGTTGCAGATCTTGACAGCTCTCTTCACCTCTCACTGCATCAATTAGCAGCCTTCATTGACCCTGGTTCAAGGCTAAGACCATATCACGACGTTGACGCAGTGTCATACCTGGCATCCCTGACATGTAATGATAAGGCCCGGTTTATCTTCAACATTTTCCCTAAAAAGCTAATTCCTGCTGGGGTTGAAGACTTAGGGTTCCATATCAAGGTTAGGGCAGTTCAGGGGCATAGCAGCCTGCCAAGGAATTATGATCCTTCAGCACTTGGAGAGCTGCTGGACGTCAAGGCGTGCAGTGATATGGGCTACATTTTTCACGCCTCTTCCAATGTGAATTACGATTCCATTGATGCTCACGGGTTGGTTCTGTCACCGTACTCTCACGGCATTGGCCATGAAGAAGGGCGCGTCGGCGTACACTTTGTGTATGCTGGAGGAGTCACACAGCCTCGCCATGGTACTGTGATTCGTAGGGGCAGAGACATTCACTATTGGACCGACGAGATAGACGGCGTCCTCAAGACACGAGATGAGAACGCCAAGGAGTTTACACGGTTCCTCTCCTCCGTCAACATGGTTACCTGCAATCCTTGGTATCTGTGGGAGAAGGGGTTCACCAAACTTTGGATTCAGGGGCGTGATGGTTCTAGGGTCGAGGCCCGTGGAGATTATGATGAACCCCGCGTGCATCTGATGGAGTACAGTAGCCTTCCTGATGGAATCCGCAACAGGCTTGATGTTGCAGACAAGCTTGAGTGGCTGTGCCATCCTCTCTCAGGATATCTTATGAAGGTTTTCCTGGACGCCTTCGAACTAGGCAGAGTTTGGGGCAGCATTGTGTTGGAGCGTGTAATAAAACCCAACGCTGGGTATTATTACGCGCATGGTTATGGACTCTCTTCAAGGGTGCCAGACCAGCATCATATCCCCAGGGTTCATGATGCCGCCTATAGGTTTTGGGGACCTGAGACTACATTAACCCCAGAAGCCTTAGCTAGGGGTTCTCCACCTGCAATCCCCAAACTTCAACCCCATGAAGAAGGGTATTTAGAAGCTCAGGCTAAGTGTCAGGAGAAGCTTAGAGAGTATGCTGCAATAAGTGAGAAATTTTTTGAGGGTATCTACATCAAGGAAGATTTTGATCTACTTCTTGAGAAGTGTCACGAACTCTTTAGCAGAGACTTGTTCTCACACATCTCCAAGCACAGGGACGATGAGTCCGAGCGCAGAACTTTAGGTCAACAGGGGAGACTTTCTATGACTCTCCTTATGCCATCAAGTTTGATCCGCAGCTGATCTATAAGAAACTCAAACGAGCAGAGTTCTCGCCCCAGAGCAAGTTTGTCTCTCGCGCGTACAAGGAACTCTCAGGCTATTGCGCATTCTTGGAGACAGAGTTCTCTCGTCAGCATGCCACCATGGAGTTTGATTCTTATGAAGATTTGCTGCAATCTACTAATATCGCCGAAAGCCTGGAGTCCATTCCGCCTGTCATGTCCGAGGTTTTAGGTGCTGTCCTTGACGCCGTTCCTGAATGGAACACAGCACGTGTGTGCCGCACACCTCGCACTGGTGGGGTAGGCGTGGGCAACCCCTTGGGAACCTCCAGGGCAGTGGACGCGCTCAACGGCGCGAGGACTGTCTTCCAGACTGAGGGACACCATGCTGTTCTTGTGAGAGATGATGAGACAGAAGTTCCTGCTGAGGAACCAGAGCGGGACGACATCGAGGACTGCACCGCTGAGCCTGGTGACGAAATCATCAGTGATGAGTCAGAAACCGTGGTTGACATGGAAGAAGAGACAGGCTCACCCACCGGTGAGGTAGTCGACAACTTCGCAGAAGTTTTTCAGTTGCCTACCATTACTGGTGAGGAAGATGAGGAGATGATCTCAACGGACGTCTTTAGTCCTGCAGAAGTCATTGAGTTGCAGGCCGACGATGTTCCCACTCAGGAAAACAATGATACCAATGAAGCCGGCATTCTGGATTTTCTTGCAAGCGTTGCCGAGCATTCTAAGGAGTCAGCTGCCAGTGACAATGGTGACATTTTAGACCCCAATGACTATGGGATGGAGTTTTGTAGGTCACCATTTAAGGTAATAGACGAACTCTATGGTGGAAGATACCGAGGCAGGGGTCTTTGGAGCCATTACTTCCGTAGTAGCCATGCCCTTGCTTGTCGCCACTACTGCAACCGCAATTGCTACGACAGGTATCATCCTCCGGGGTCACCAATCAGTCCCTGCATGCGTCCTCATGCCAAGTATCACCTCAATGAAGAAAAGCTTATCAGAGAAATCGTTGAGAAGAAGATGGAACCTTGGCGAAGGGTACCTTCAACCATTTATAATACCATAGCTTACAGGGCCGGTGACCTTAGGGATATTTATGATGACACTGAAGTTCAGAAGTCCCAGGAGGAAAGGAGAGCCGCCATGGAACGTCTTGAAATCATCAAGAATGCGAAGGGACCTATGCTCCGATCTCAGCTCGTGGCCGAAGTTTGCACCGCCTTATTTGCCGCAGGCTCTGCCAAGGGATATACTTTTCACAAGGTGGCTGATGAACCTGGCCCAAGCAGTTCCTCTAGTATGCCTGCCTCCACTAAGGTTGTTAGGGATAGGACTGTTAGTAGAAGCCAGGGACATCTGTCAGTTTGTGTCCTGAACCTTGGAAATTGGGAAAGATCAAGGAAGCGCTCCACTCCGCAATGCTTCCACCACCTGATTGATTGGGAAGGAACCTACAAAGAGCATAAGGCAGATCCTACTGCAGGAAATCTGTTCTTGCACTTCCTTTCCAATATCAGCGCTCACGTCCTGCTTCTGCAAGAGGCCAGCACTATCCGCCAACTTGAAAAGAACGTGCTAGAGGAAAAAGGTTGGATGTTAGCCACAAGCCCTGACCGTACTCTTCTTTGTGCCATCCGGGCAAATCCTTGGCCAGGATCCTATGTGCGCCACATGGGAGGCCTAGCGAAGACCCTCCAAAACCCTCAGGTAGCAACGCTCCAGGAAAAAAAACACACACACAAAAAACTTTCTCTTAAACTCTGGGGGGGGAGGAGGCGGGGGAGAGGGGCGGGAGAGAGAGGCGGAGGGAGGAGGGGACGAGACAGCCGCGTGGGGTCGGCGATGAGTCAGGCCGGGGTCGGCGGATACAGGTATACATCTTTTTGTTAGTACTTGTGCCCGCTGCTATTACCTTTCCTGTTAATGTAGATTACCTGTATCGATACCTTCATGTTGTATATGCCAGTTTCGTTTGCGTTGGACAGGAGCGCATGGGTGAGGGGGCCCCCTCCTCCCCCAAAACATCAAAGCCGCGCAAATGCATACTTGAGGCTTTCACAAGGCCCAGAAAGGTAAGACACCAAGCCACCTTACTTTCTTGACTAGTAGGCTGGGGGAGAGGCTGATGCTGAGGTCGTGACCTTGAAACTTACGCTGCTGGTGGTATGTCATGGTTACCATATGCGGACATACGGCATACGAGCTATTCTGCCTGAGGCCTGGCAAAGACTCAGATCAATTCAAAACGTGAAGTCAATAATTGAGTCCGGCAGCAAATTGGGTAATGGCAATTCTGAACGCAAGGTACCCAACTGACTGGCACATGGTGGCACGCATATCTGCGGATAAATGCCTGCACATCACCAATGGAACTCAGTGGCACGATCTCCCAAAAAATCAATTTCTTGGCGATTGCGGCAAAATTGACACTTGATCAACACAGCTTCAGCGCTAGCAGCAGCATCAGAGCTTAGAGCACATTGTTTGACTGAGTGTTGCCCATCTACACGCGAGCGGAAAAGCAAGTAGCAATCGCTCGAATTGGTAGAGAAAGGAACTTGGGCAGAGAGTCTCTAAACTCGGTATCTTCCTGCAGCCTGCTACCCTTATTCTAACGATAAGATTTGACTCCGAACATCAGGGAATTGGGCTCCGGCAGCATTGGCAGTGGAGTTGGAGCCGAAACCTCAGGCAGGCAACGTGGCATTCCAATGGAGGCCGGTTTCTTCAGAATAAAACCTGCAAGAGTTTCTTAACAGGTTCGGTTGACATCTCAAGATGCTTGGATGTAAGTTTTATTTGGAACTTCTGAAAGCATCCGCGGAACATGGGCTGCCCAAACCTTTTTCTCTGATAATGAACACAACTTGAGAGGTGCTAGAACCTACACATGTCCTTGAGGCGCCAAGCCCTGTTTGCACTTCTGCCGAAGCTGTTGTTTGCCAGTTCATTGCATGTTAAGCCAGCTCCGACATCAGGCTGATAGTAATCCAGACTGGGCTTGCCGCTTCAGTTTGTTTCTTCATGTAGAAGAGCCGGCTTTGTGCATGAATGATGACGAACAACGTGTCTCCACGTCTCTCGGAGCGGGCAGCTGCCAAGGCCAGAATCGGGGAGGAGCTGCGGCGAGCAGCTCGCCAGCGGCGGGCTGCGAAAACCAGGAGACACGGGGCACTGGTGTGGGAGCCTGCTTGGGATTGGGGAAAGTATTGGCCGTGGCAAAAGGTGGCAAGCCAGAGCCAAACTAACTTGAAGGCCAACCCCAGCCTCTTGACCACTTCCTGCGCCAGAAGGGGACGCAACATGATGTGTCATTGTTCGCGAACAAGGGCATTTTCCCTTGGAATTAACGGTTTTTAACATCGATGTGGACTGGTGCTTCGGATCAGGAGTTTGGATGATGAGTATGTGAGGTTCGTGCGTGACGCGCGCAGTTCCCTCAGGATTGTTGACACTTCATGATTGTATCTGCAGTGCAGCCGTGCAGCTTTCTCTGTATTCTGCAAGTCATGTGAGAAATTTGCCGAGAAGGAACATCTGGAACGCATCTCAGTCACCTTTCTTTGCAGCTGCTGAGGTCAACGTGAACCCCTGCAAGCTCAAGTTCCACAGGACAAGACTATTTGAGTTGAGGGTCTTCAGTTTGTCCAGTGCCTCCCTAGCATGCAATGTCTGTGGGAGAGTTTAAATCTCTCGAGGGATTACTGGTTCCAATCCCTAGAAATCAGTCTTGACGAGCATGAAAGGCTGTGTGTTTTAGAGTTAAGGGGCTTTGACTCAGAGGCTGTTGCGTTTGCCTCCTGGACTTTTCAGGATGCCCACATGGTTGGGCAAAGAAGATCGCCGGCGAGGAGCGTTGAGCAAACCTTGTATTTTCGCTCTCTTTCAGGTGTCTGGACTGCCCTGACGCATGGATTGCCACGCTCTGTTGCTTGAATGGGGATCAGGACAGATGGCACGTCTGTGAAGCGCTCGGACATTTGAGGTGCTGATGGTATAGATGCAACCACACCGGTCACTAGACATACGAGTAGACAAGGTAGCCTAGTCGTGTCTTCACTTGACGTTGACAGTGATTCATCTCAAGCCAGCCTCGACAAAATGCCGACTGAGGTTGCAATATATCGCGATGTGTCTGACCACTAAGGCAGAGCCCTTTGTGCTGAGCGACTTGGTTGCTGGCCAGGCTCTGCGGTAGATTTTGTGGTCAAAGCTATCACAAATGTTCTTTTCCCCAAAAGCGGCTTGGAAGTCGCTCAGATTTAAGCACACGCAGCCAGAACCTCAAGATGAGGCTCTGTTCCAAGGAGCAGCTTGGCCTCTTGGTGACTGCGAAGAATTTTAGTGGACGCATGTGATTATCCTGGTTTGGAACATCGAGCCAATGGGCGCTAGAAGAAAAGGTACGCGACGACTCTATTTGGTGAACTGTCTCAATGCAAACATGCGGCCAAACGCTACTAGTGTACAGCCGGGAGGGTCACTGCACACCAGAGCTTCAGAAATGGCTGATTCTACGAGACGAACGGAATGGGGCAGGCAGGCACAGATGTCGTTTAAGATACTTGATGCATGTGTGGGCGTGTAATGTAATGCCAACGTGGGTCTGTGCAGTGAGTACTCAGGGGCTCCAGGGGAATTACAGAGCAGCCTGGGATCCGCAGAGCTCAGCCAAGAAGGGCAAAAGGAGTCCGTCCGTCATGGCGAGTGCAAATACGTCCCTGTTTGGAAATCCATGGAATTCCCATTCCCACGTACGTCTGCCATGCCATGTGTTGCCATAGCTGCTATCTAGGAATCTAGGCTACTCGGGTGGGATGTTGGCGATGGTGTTGGAATTGGTACCAATTGCTGGCATGCTTACATGTGGAGCTGTAATTTGGTAATTTTGGGTAAGTAGTCGCAACGGTTAAGTTGACCAGTTGTGAACACCATCTCGAAGTATTTGCGTAGCTTCGCCTGCCTGCCGACAATTCCTTGGGCGGTTCAAGACGAACTCGGACATCCCGACGGTGGAGCTTGGCTCATGCCCAAGGCCGGAGGAAGCAAATGACATGAGCTTTCAACTGCTGCAGCAAAGCCTTGCCGGTTGGCTGCCTATTACCATAAAGATGTGGTTCATGATGCTCTTGATTCTTCAAGCATTTGAGCTCACTCTGAGCGCTGCAACCTCAAGACAACCCAAGACCAACACTGGTCCAGACCCTTCGCTTACAAATGAATGAACATCTGAAAGAGGGTTGAGATCGCTAGACGCCCTTGCTCGTCAGAATGTCAATCTGGTGGGCAGGAAGTCGAAGGCGAAAATGAGGCTGCTCTTGAAGCAGACCTGAAGGTTCCGTCGCTATTCCGAGTGGATGGCAAAGTGGCGTTGGTCACAGGCCAGAGTCGAAGTCTTTGAAAAGTAGCTATGATGCTCTTAACTTGTCGATGTGCCCGCAATGATGTGAGCGTTCTTGCAATATCCTGCAGATGGTGTCGCAACACTTGTGCCCCATAGGCGGTGGATCCGGGATCGGTGCCATGATTGCCTCTGGATTTGTGCAGCTGCTCGGGAAGTGAACGTGAATGTTTCTGTTTTGTGCTCCCTGCCGAATCTTTGCAAATCCTCGGGAAATCCTCATGGCACATCTTCCGATGAAAGAAGCTGAGGAATGGGTGTCGGGTGTACATTGCTTCGCGGAAGGAGTGGTGTGGACACTGCGGCTAGATGTGATGCACCTACACATGAAGCATCATGAAGCAATGTGGAGCCAGCAGGACACTTCCAAGTATGCCGAAGATCTGACGGCCAAAGGACACGTCGCTCCTTGTCAACACAGCGTAGGGTATTCTGCTTTTGGTCACCGGGACTTTGGTCACCGGGACGAATACGGTCTTGCCAAGCTGACATTTGTTCTATGCAGCTTCCTGACCACGCCAGCCGGCATCAGCTTGCAGATGGAAACAGTTTCCGTTTCCGTAAGGTTGATCCAATCTTTGTCAGCAGGACCTGGCTCTTGCGTGGCGCTCACTTGCGACATCAGCCCCTGAGCCAAGTTTTGAGAAGGGTCACAAGAAGCCTATGAGACCCTTCCACGCGACTTGTCAAAGTAAGTAGAGCGATTCGCTCGAACACAGCACTGCGATACTTTAGTACAATCGAGACTGTTGACGAAAGACAGCTCGGCTTACGCTAAGCAGAGTGTTGTAAATGGAGCTGTTGACATGGGAGTTTGTTTTCAGTGTCTTGTCGGTGGGTGGATTGAAAACGGATTCAGAAATTATTGTCGACTCAGAAGCTACTATTGAGAAACTGTTTGTACTGATTGTGACACTACTATTTGCACTAATTCAGAAACTAGTGCACCAGATTCACACACCATGTGCACCGATTCAGGAAACTTTTGCACTGATTCGGACACCACATGCGAACGATTCAGAAACACCGGCGCAGAAACTGAGACATTTAATTAAAGGCCATCACTCTCACAGTGCCATGGCATGGAGGGGCCGGGCCCTTGAACACTTTCCTCAAACCCACCCCTATGCACCAGCAGCACGTGGCTTGTGGTCCTCCCAGGATGATTGCGTACATCGTGCAAGCAGCAAATGCTTAGGGAGAGCGTGGCTGGAACTCTACATAAGACGAGTTAAACCTCGCCATACGCTTCTTGAACGCCACTGCAAAGTGCTTTGCAAGGGCAGGGTCATTGTGCGAATACCATCATGCTTCGCGGTCGCACGCTCAAGTGTTGAAGACCAGGCTAGCTTTAGTTGGCCCTGGCTTGCCCCTAGTAAAATGTCTCTTCTTAGGTTCTACTGCGGTTCATGAGAGTCAGAGTTTTCTTATCTTGTTCGAAATGTAGCAGCCACGCAGCATTACATTTCCATGGCTCGGAAAATGAGTTGAGTGGTTCCCGTGTGTTTAGGCATGAAAACAGGATTGTTGTATTATGGAACCCATTATGTTTCTAATGTTCGTCAAGCAAACTACATTTCAATAATGTCCCACCGCGTCTTTGTGGATCCGCAAAAAGACCAGCACACAAGAACGAGCGCATTCCCCACGACTGCTCATCTTGTGGGAGTTAGCTCTGCTCACACCGCACTTGACAAACAGACGTGTTTGCGGTTGACACTTCCCTATGGATCAAAGCCTTTGCGGTCAGAGCTTCGTGAACTCAGACTTGTATACATAAGCAACATCACTTGAACTCTGTTCAGAATAAATGTTGTTGTCAACACGTTTGTTCCTCTTCATCGAGCTGCTAATGTGGAACAGCTCTTTCTTGGATGAAGTTGGGTCCTAAGATCATCGCTCGCATTCACGCCCGACCAAGGCAAGCACGACCAGCAGACGAATCTGATAGATTCGATTCAGAAAGCTGAAGGCAAGCTGCACGTCCTGGGCTCAAGATCCGGTGGTGAGTTTATGATTGTGACCTGAACGGGGAACAACAGCATGATGATTGATGCAACACAGTGTGGATCTTCACCCTGAAGCGCCACAAGCCCCGTGTGGTTCACACAACTTCCAATGTTTTGGAATGTTTTCGAAGTTGTTCGATTTCACCTGGCACTGTATCATGCGTTATTGGCAATGACCGTGATCAGCCATTGTTCAGATGCTGCTTGGTAGTCTCATGTTCATTTGCTGATGTTCACTACAGCTGACTCATCCCTCTTCTTTTGGCCAAGATTCTGGTTAACAACAGCGGAACCAATTTCAACGCGCCTCTTGGAGATCTGGCAAAATTGGTGTGTTTACTTCTTCTGCACACACTGTTCTGTTCATTCTCGACCTTCTTATGCCTGCTGGACTGCTGGACTCTCAGGAAAATACAGCCCGGAAATGTTCGAGAAGGTCATGCAGTTGAATACGAACGCGCTCTTTGCATTGACACGGCTGCCTTGCAGAGCACTATGCGTTATCAGTCCCTATTCTTGTGCTTATGTATGTAAACGTCTCCAAGTGCAGCATGCAGCATTGATGATGAAGATGTTATGGCATATGCTACCAGCGATTTGGCTTGGCATGGCAGCTACATTTAGGAAGTTGTTTTCGACGATTTTGACAAGGCTTGCAGTGCCTTTGATGGAGTCGTCATCGTCACGAGAGGATCCTGGCAGCCTCTTTGTCACAAGTTACTGCACTCGGAAGTAGAATTGTGAAACAGTTCACGAGGCGGTGCAGATAATGAGGATGCGCACACGACACGGTTTGTAGTTGTTGTAGTTGTTGAGACTTCAGCACACCATGTTGCTTTTCAATTTTTTTTCCAAGGGACAAGCAGCTTGCAGGTTGCCTTTCCTTGAGCCCAGGAATAGTGCACATCTCTTCTGTCAATGGTCTTCAGCCGCCACTGATTGACACTTTTGCATACAGCACCAGCAAAGCCGCCGCCGCAGCCTCAGTGCACAGAGGCTAATTAGGTGCGCAAAGGATCCTGCTTTGGTGAATGTGGAGGTAGTTATGCTGTCGAAGCACCTCGCCGGTGCTTTGGGGCCGCGGCACATCACCTCCAACTGCATTTGCCCTGGGCCCTTCATGTCACGAATGATGCGTGGGACGATCGAGGTAGGAGAGTCAGTACATACCCCCAGGCCTTTACAATCGTTGCTTCTGGAGGCAGTGGGTGAGGAGAACATTGCCAGTAGCACTGCGGTTGGTCGTCTCGGCCTTCCCTCGGACATCGCAGGCGCTTCTCAAATTCGTTTGCCACCACCAGATAGCATGGGAGCGCTGATTGCTAGGTTTTGTTATTTGTGGGGCGCTCCTGACCTCCAAGCTTCTTGGCTCGTCATTTTCCCCAGGGATCCCAAGCAGGTCCGGTGTTCATTCTTAGTAGTAGAAGGTCTGACTGAAGATCTGAGAAAGTCTTGCTATGTCTTGCTAGTCGTCACTCGGTAAGTTCCCTTCGGTCGATAAGTACCTGGATCAAACCACAGACTCAAAGTTCAATTGCGGCTAGAATTTTCTGTTGAAATAGCGCGGAGGTGCAGAGTTTCATTCACTGTCAAGCGAGGCAGACTGAGAGCCCACGCCTTGGCTAGACCTTTTTTTCGACCGGGCAAGACGGCCGGACCTAGCAAAAACGAACACTTCCACTGCTCTCAAGCTTCCGTGCTTGCGCGATTTGGGTCATTCTAGTCAGTGGTACTGTTACCACCCCTACGACGACCACAACCCCACGACTACCATTGCTGCCGCTGTCAATTTCAATACCTGTGCTACCACCATGCTGAAGCGTGTCATCATTTTCTTGCAATTCCTTCCATCCGGTATTGAGTCGTATTACGTGCAATGACGCATTCAAGTCTTTGACATTGACTGAACTTACAGAAACCATTGTGAATTCTTGCGCGCCGTGTCTATCATTCCGTGGACACGCTGTTTCATGCCATTTCTATTCTTTGCTTCCGCCTGGGTACCATTGCAACTTTTGTTTTTTAAATGTTGCCATGTCATACCTTCTTTCGCATATGCCTGCGGCCAGCCTTTTTCTTACGCTCAGGCCCGCACCTGCGGCAGTGGTAGGCGGAGGTTTGGGGCTTTTTTGAAGTGGGGTTCTTAGCCACGCCGCTTTCTGGCCCAAGGTATCCTGGCCTCTCTCTGCCTCTCCTTTAGCCGCACCTGTTTGCCATCCCATCGTCTCCGGACTCTTATGCTCGGCCTGGCTAACTCTTTAAAAGCTGCATACCTGACAGGCATGGCACCCAGACTCCTCCGAAGATGAGGTTCATTGTTCACGTGCTTGTGTGGATCAGCACTTAAAGCACCGAATACAACTGGCGCCCAAAAAGGAGAATCGGGTGCTGACCATAACATCGTTTGAAAAGGCCCAAGTGGTCCCGCACTATCTGCACTATTCGAAGCCCTTTATGGTGGTTGGGAAAGAAGCAGATCCACATTTTGCACCAGTCGTTCTATCCATCATCTTCGCATCACCGATCATCAACAGAACCAATCCTCAACTCGTTCGCACTGTTGAAGCCAAGCCCTGCCAACGCCAAGACCCTCTGTAGAGCACACAAGCTAAGCTGCCTTTATCCCTAAAAAAAGGTCGGTATCCCTGGAATCTTTATGAGTACTCTATGACTGATGTCATTGCATCTAGGGCCAGTCTGTTTTTCCTGCTCGTACAAGTATGACTGTCATTTTTTACGATCGATCCTTTGTACGGTTCTTGTGTTTACTCAAGGTTGTTTTCATTTTGTTGACCTAGCCGCGCTTTATCTATTGCTCTCCCCAAGCCACTTTGCTCACAGCTTCTGCTTTCACATAGGCGTAGCAGCTTTTGATGCAATACTTTTCATGCTTTTGCCATAGTTGCCATAGCTCCTGTGTGGAATCTTGCATGGCTTGCTGACATGCTTGTTTGTTAGGCATGTGCTATTATGCTCATGAAACAGATTCCACTTCGTCTACATACATCTGTTGATCGCATCTGTGCCGAGCATGGCTTCAATTGTTGGTGCGTCAGTGGATTGCATCCGTAAGCGCGCAGCCTTGCTTCCCCTTGCGGACCTGGAGCATGATGTCGTCTCGGACGATGCAGAAAACTCAGACCGTTCTCAAAGGCACCAAACTATTGCCTGTGCAGTTTCTGCGTCTTTGGGGTTGCAACTGTGTGCGCGCCCCTGGCCAGCGCCGGCGCATGGAGCCGCTTTGTCTAGATTTCGCTTGGATGGTTTTTCAGGGACATGTGCAAGGCGTCCTCGGCAGCGTCCTCATCTAGGCATGCCATTGCCTAGGCCACAGCAGATGCCGCGTCATTCCGTTAGAGTGTTCAGTGATCAGCCATTGCCGCGGCCTGTGCCGTACAGGGCTGCTGACTATTCAAGTCACCGCCGTGGCCCTGCGCAACGTCCCTGCCTCCCTTGTAGGCCTGGGTTACCACGGTTGCCGCAGGAGTCCTTGCCTCTGCCTAAAGTGTCTCAGCCCTCTGTGCGTGAGCGGGTTGCTTGGCAGCAACCGGCAACTAAACAGCGGAAGGGAGGAGATATGAAAGACTCTACTTCCCAAGCATTAGTGCATGAGCATACCTATAATCAGGCTAAGCAGGTGTGGAGTGGGGTTCGCGCGAAACTCCTGCCCTGTAGCTCTGTTCTCCAAGGTGCTGCGCAGAGCTCTAACGCAGGTGTAGAGGACCGGTTGCTAAAAACAGTTAGTGAAAATACGCTTTTGCGCTACTTGTGTCAAGTGCGGTCCTTCCTGTCAGCCCTTGACGGGATGGGGTTGGATTCTGTGCAAGGACTGCAGCAATACCAAGTGCTGGATGCGCTGTTAATCATGCACAAAAATGGCGATCATGTGTGTAACTCCCTGAAGGCCGTTCGCTGGGCAACTAAGTTGCTTGATCTGCCTCTACCGGACCTGTACCAGGGGTTGATGCGCACAGCCGAGGTTCAGGTGACAGGTGACCGTAAAGAGAGCGTTCCTCTAGCTGTGGCATTTGTTTGCTTCTTGGAGAAAATGCTACTGACAGATGCGGGCCCTAGGGAACAGCGTTTGTTTTGCGGGGCAGTGTTAGTAGCTTGCAATGCATCCCTGCGGTTTTCCGACGCGCAACATATAAAGTGGTCCTCGTTGCTCCCAGCAGAGGATTGTACTAGAGCGGTTTCCTATCGGACGAAAACTAGCAAGCGAGGCATGCCTTTCGGTTTTTGCAATTCAGGCTTTTACGGTAGCAGCACCACTTTTGCAAAGACATGGGTTGCCAAGTATCTGTGGCTACTGGGCGAAGTGTGGCAAGAGATCCAACAAGTGTTCGGGGTGGAAGCCGAGCCAGACTGTCTATTCTTCTCCTGGCACGACCAAGAGTTTGCACCTTTAGGTTACGGGCAGGTTCTGATGAGCCTCCGTGGCCTTCTTGAGGAATGGGGTTTGGGGCCCGCTCAGGCGAGTGTGCTCACGCTGCATTCGATGAAAGTGTGCTTCTTATCCATGCTTGCCCAGCTAGGGTACTCCATAAAGAAAAGAGGCCTGCAAGGCCATCACAAAGCCCAGAATGCATCTGTGCAACTGTACTCGCGAGATGATGTGTGGGGCGCGCTTGAGGCCCAGAAAGTTCTCTGGGGCCGCCTGCACGAAGGTTGGAGACCGCACACGCCGCAAGCGCGTGGCGGTCGGCATCCTGTGCAGCAGCAAGATATTAGCCCCCTACGTGTTATGTTTAAGGCAGCGTCTATTCACCCTGTGTTTGCTGACAAAATGCCAAATGCTGTAATCGCTGTTCCTGAGGCAGCCTCTGCTCCACTAAGTCCGCCGGCCCAAGCGGATGACGCGGCTATCGCGTCAAACCAGCCTGCCCAGGAGGCTACCGATGCAGATTCGTCTTCCTAGGACAGCAACGCTTCATCGGCGCTTCCAGTGTTGAAGCCTCATGCGTGTGAGTCGGAAGCCGCGTGTCAGCGGGTCTTCCTGCGTGCCGCTTCGGGCATTCACCACATAGGCGTCCAGCGAGAGGGGTGTTTGGGCATCTCACTGCAGTGGTCGGAAGACCGGGCCGGCCATCACAGTGCGTACAACGTGTGGGGCTCTGTCAAAAGAGCTTACATTGGTTGATGTTCTGCCTGCTGACGCGCGCGTGTGTCAGCATAAGGCATGCCTGCTCGCGTTCCGAGCTTGAGATGACAGCTGACTGTCGCTGTGAAAAGATGGCTTTTCTTTATCTAGGTGCGCGGGGCGCAAGCCAATCAGCTTTGCGTGTATGTACTTCTGTTTGAAAGCTTTTGAGATGCGCGTGTGACTAGTGTCTTGTAGTTCTAGTGCAAGAGCATTGTTGACCTGCTGTCATGCCAAGTATCACAGAGCTTAGGTCCCGGGAAAAGACTGCTGCCAGTCTTGCTGTGTTAATGAGCAGGAGCGTTGCGTACACGCTGTCGGGTCTTGCTTCTAAGCTTGAGCGCAGTGCGGGGACTGCTGTCAGTTCCAAGTTGTGTCTAGTTTACTGTTGTGCTTAGACGCTGTGCCACGTGTAGGAAGACAATCTTCATTTTGCGTGACGTGTTTAGGTTTTCGCGTAGAGTTGCGTGCAGTATGGAGCTTGCTGCTTGGCTTGGCCCGCTGTCGCGCTGCGTGTCGCAGAGCTTGCGTGCAAGGAGAAGACTGCTGTCAGTCTTTCTGCGTTAGTGAGCAGGAGCGTTGCAGGCCCGCTGTCGGGTGTCGCGTCAGAGCTTGGGCACAGTACAGAGACTGCTGTCAGTCTCCATTTGGTAGCAGGCGAAAGCGTCGTGCGGCTAATTATATATCTGAGCTTTGTGCCAGAGCTTCGTAGTCAAGCAGCTATGTGCTGTTAGCTGTGCCAGTGCGTCTGTGCTGAAACGAACCGGTCAGCTTCCCTTGCGGTTCAAATTCTTGTAGCGAGTGCTAGGCAGTGAGTGTGTGGGCTTGTACTCATGATGTCACACGTACTTGCAGCTTGGACATGATTCTGTTGTTCACAGAGGGCTACTGTTGAGTGCGTGTCTATGTGGTGTTGTCTAGCGTATCTGCGTGTGGAACTAGTTTGATACGTGCGGTTTGCTATGTCGGAGCTGGGCGTAGAAGCTATGACTATGAACCAGGAGCTTCAGGGCTTGGCGTGTGCTTGCAAGGTGCCGGAGCAGTTCCAGGAGGTTCTGCGAGCTTTCGACGTTGCACTGTTCAGCCGGGCAGCGGCGGACACCTCTAGCCTTGACGCGGTTTTGACTGAGC